GTTTAATATTTGCCATGTTGCTTTTGAGTTGTGTGTGTATATACATTCCTATTTATCAAATGTGCAGCAAATTACTCGTACGTTGTATGTGTTTTTTATTGATTTATTTAGTTTGTATAAATAAATATAAAATAAATAAATAAATATTTCCAACACTCACACCAATTAGTCTAGCCCCAAAGTAAGCACTGTAAAGGCTTGTGTTATGGGATAGAATACATATATTGTACATATTTATATGAAATACATATTAAACATCCATGACTGGAGTACAAATGCTCGTATTCATCACACAAACATCTGCCCCCACCGGGATTCGAACCCGGGACCACTCGAGTCGGCGACGCCATGAAACCCGGCGTATAAACCACTCGGTCACGGAGGTCGTCAAATAATGAATACTTACTTACAATAAAGTGACAATTAGTTTTGAAGCTTTACGTAAGAAACATTTACAGGTTCATACTATATGCCAAAAATAAAACGGTTATTGTTAACAACTAAGATATAGATACATACATCTACATCACAATAAAACTATTAATTTTTGTTTTCAGAGTGATACGATTGGAGTTCAAATCCAGATATGGATACATTCCCAAACATTTGACAGTTCTCTCTGTTCTAGCTTTTATTCTACTTCTCAACATCGTAGCTACAACTAATATTGTTTTTTTTTTATAATTTTTCCTTCTTTATATAAGTAAGTACTTAAATGTATCAAGAAAATATATATAACCTACTCTAACAAACGTACTTTGAATGTGTGTTCGTACATTTGTTTCTTTATTCGATAAATGACCTTTTCCGTCATTTAGGATAACGATTTACTGTGAATATAACACTCATACTTTAAAAGCAACATAATTGAATGGTCGTAAGTTTAGACCCACGCCGCGCCGCCGCCGCAACCAGCGCCCGTTTTTCTTAGAAGCGCCGAGTGTGGGATAAGGCACGAGAGATCAGATATTGAAGGAGAATATTATTTTAGAAAGAAATATTTATTTATTTATTTATTTATTTTGGTTACATTGAAGACCAACAGCTTATCTTAATATACTAGAAATGAATAGTAGCTATAAGGAGCCAATTACAGGTCCTCACATCTAGACATAACTTAAAAGAATAAAGAAACTATTTGCACTATCCAATGTAAAAAATCTCTTAAATATTGTTTTATAAATGAGGTACTTATCTTCTATACTTATAATAAATGTGTAGAGAGGTCAATTCTGTACATGAAATATATTTTCAAAATAACTATCAGGGGGAGATTAGTGATCGATACTGATGCCATAAATGCAATCAGTAAAATTTTTGTCTGTCTGTCTGTCTGTCTGTGTGTATGTTCCTTATAGAAACAAAAACTACTCGACGGATTTTAACGAAACTTGGTACAATTATTCTTCATACTCCTGGGCATGTTATAGTATACTTTTCATCACGCTACAATCAATAGCAGCAGAGTAGTGAAGGGAAATGTTGGGAAAACGGGAGAAGTTACTCCATTTTTTAAGCTTCCGTCGCGTGTGCAGCCTTAATGGTTATAGTTACATAGAAATCATGTATAACGGAAATATTCTACATAAAATTGTCTAAAAAATATCCCGGAACAGCATATGTCTATCTTTTATGGTTGACTCACAATAACACGTGTAATTATATAAATAAAGTCATTGTTTATAGCACAAGCCTGAGAACAAAAACTATAGTTTACACTACAGCTCTACACCGAAGCGAAGCGAGGGCGGGCCACTAGTGATAAATAACAGAATAACAAATTACGCACATGTTAAGTACATATACTTGTCTATGGAATTAAAGTCTGGAATAACTGTTTATAATTATTATTATATTAATTATAATCTCCAAAAAACAAACGAGCATAGATACGTCTAATCGACGCCTCGCTAGTGTTAAAGAGATCTAAATTTACCTGTTTTGATAGTGAGTTGAAGCTGCTACTTGCTCGACAAAGAAAAGCGTTCAGCCGATAATTTGTAGATATAAGGTAGGTAGGTTTGTAGGTAATAAAAATAGGATCAATCCTAAGGGGTTTGGGGGGAACTCCAAACAAGATCTTTGATAGGAGTTCCGGGCAGTCAACAGCCCCAGAAACGATCCTACTGAGGAAAACTAAATCAGCAATTTCGCGACGCATCTCTAAGGGGAGAAGATGATGCTTTTTGCAGAACTCCCCGTACCGACCTGAGTGATAACGTTCCTTTGTACGAAAGCACAGATATCGTACAAATTTCCTCTGGATGCCTTCAATGCGAGGTATATAGGTGGAATATCTAGGGAATATACATGATATATTTTTTTTACGTCACAACAATATCAAACTAAAAACTTAACATAACAAATTAACCCTTAAATATTTATATACATATTCACAAGAAGAATATGTCATCCAAAATTCCAATTTGGGGAATGGTACCCAGAACACTGGCAGGATTACCTCGCTGAATGGCTTAACTGATTCTCTGCGCGAAATAGCTGCCAGCCCTCCGATCACCCGAAGAGAGAATCAGTCGACGACATCCTTCATAAACCGTTTCATGTCAGCCGACCACGACCCTAACGTCTCGAAAGATAACGCCCGCAAACTCATAATCTTCAGTTATAGAAGAGTATTTACGACGCTTGAGAAACTGAGCAAGGTCGGCTGCGGTCCCAACTTTAGTACAAGTTTCATGTATATAAGATGGCACCAGCGTGTCTACTCAAGTTACATCCCACACCAGAGTGAGGTCCAGTCTCCACGGCACAAGCGTAGCACCGTCAGGTCTCTTGCCATCATCTCTGTTAGACCACATGGTTATAATGTTGCCGGTATAAGCAGATGAACAATATCTCAATCTAGTTTTTTTTTAAAGAAAAATAAAACAAAATAAAGATATTTGTTTCTTAGGTTTTCACGCACATCACTCATTAAATAAAACTAGTTTTTACGGGTTAATGCACGAAACTTTATTTATTTATTGACGTTTCGTAGCCTTTACAGGCTACGTCGTCAGAATTAAACTTTTATTTAATTTGTCGAGCTACCTTCGATAGACTTTTATTGGGCGGTCGGTTATATCGTTGTTCGATTTTTAAAGTTTTATTGTCTATGTATGAATTTATTATTAAATTTACTTAATAAAATATTTTATTGAAATTCTTTTTTGTAATTTTTAGTTTATTTATTTGACCCTAACTACCGTAAACTACCACCGGTTTCAAAATTTGGAGACCTTTCTGAGAAGACCCGACGAAACAAATTCAAGAGAGGCTTTCTAAAATCGAACAATGAAATAAGCGAACGCTCAATAAAAGTATTTCGAAGGTAGCTCGACAAATTAAATAAAAGTTTAATTCTGACGTCAATAAATAAATAAAGTTTCGTGCATTAACCCGTAAAAACTAGTTTTATTTAATACTATACTTGCACTTGCACTAGTAGTTTAAAACGCAATAAAATTAACTCAGAGTTAAAAACCCCTTGTTTTTTGTTTACTGTCCCGATCTGCACTCCTAAGAACTGAATTTTTTGACCTCATGTACCGATTTAAAACAAATCAAAACTGGCAACACTAGTTCGAAACCCGTCTGAAACCTAGAATGATTTGGAATGTTATGTAGTAAATTTTATTAAGATTTAAAGATCTAAATGCTTAAAAATAAATGTATAGTGATCTTGAAGATACTTGGGACCGCTAAATCTTTTGCTAGAGACCATATGGTTCGTCGCGGAGGAGTGGCGAGGGAGGGATTGCGGAGGAGGGGCCTGCCTAGCCCCGCCTCTCTATATCTCCTCACCTCTGCATACACCGAACCTCAGACAGTAAGTAATAAACACATTCACCGATTCATATAGTCCACATCAGCACGAAAATATTTCCAAATACGTATTGTGAATGTTTCAGTAGGTACAGATCGTGTTGTCACTTTCATTCTTTTCTTTCTTTTCGCTGAACTTCGTACCGCCATAAAAATATAACGCCAATAAAATAGAAGAAAAAATTTAGGGATGTATGTATTTTTTAATACCACATTATAAAAAAATAAATATTGTCCAAAAAAAATTTTAGGGGTGTATGTAACGTAGTGTTCTATCAATTTCCTGGGATAACATTCCTCCTAACCACAGAGATGTTTCTGATATCTATGCTCCTAACCCATATGAGAACACTACGTTACCAATACCCAATAGTTTGAATTTTGGCGCGAAGGCGCATTGTAGGTTTCAGAACACTACGTTACAGGTGGACAACTAGGTATTATCACTTAAGGATATGAAAAATAGATAGTAGCCGGTTCTCAGACCCGCCGAATATGCATATAAAATTTCATAAAAATATGTCAGGCCGTTTGGAGGAGTATGGTAACTAACATTGTGACACGAGAATTTTATATATAAGATTACATGTAAAATAAGGCTTGTGTAGTATGTATTTTAATAGAACAGTTACTCAAGTAACTAATCTCATAAGTGGATAGATATCAAATAAACGTTCAACTAACACCGTTAAAAGAAACCTACTAATCCATTAAACAAAACAAAACAATATTCTAACAAGCTTATTTAAGTTATGTTTGTTTATTTATAGAAGTTCAGGATAGTTTATTGAATAATAAAAAAAATAGGCAGATACAAATGACAAAATACTTATTTACCCCTATCACGAGCAGTTTTTTCTCTTTTCTATTGATTTTTAAAATATATAACGTGCTATAACAGTATCACCTTAGAAAATTACAGTAACATAATTTATTTACGGGATTGTTACCATGTACCTTGTTTTTAGCGAGTTACTCCGCGATCATGGCGCTTGCAACAGTGCCGAAATATCGGAAACTAGCTAAAACAAGGTACATGGTAACAATCCCGTAAACAACTTATATTACTATAGTGTTAGTGACCATGAAAGTTTAAAACACATTAGATAATGTTTATAAGCAGATGACTAGTGCTACTGAAGTCAAAGAAGCCACGATAATCTAAGCTAGATAACCTGCCGGTCCTGAAAGCGGAGGCGGGTCACAGCTCCGCATTCCGCGCGCGTGAATCACGGAGAGCTGTGCCGGCTCACCGCGGGAATGTGAAAGCGAGGAATCCGGCTCGTTCCCAGGACAGGTGCCTGCTAACGGTCGCTACATTATTGACCGTCTGGTCAATTATACACGTTATGTAACCAGAATCATTTAAGTGAAAGACCACCTACTCAAATAAGTGTAAGACGGTAAAACGCGATTAATGAAGACGCCAGCGGAGATGAGTCTGCCCTAACTTCCTAAATATTGAAGTTAATGTTTAGTCACACTTAATATAAATAACACTTTTTGTATTGAAGTTATACTTCTTTAGGCGCGTTATGAAAAAATCATGTGAGTGAAATTTCGAGATGCGCGCGCATCACTGTAACACAATAGTAACACCATGAAGTTGGCCGCGGGCGCGTTATGAATGTTAGTGTCTAATAATGGTGGATTATTAACCACTTAGTGGTTAATAATCCACCATTATTAGACATCTGTTCAAAAGGTACTTTGAACGATCCACGGAGCTCCATAAGATGATCGCGTTGTCAAAAACAATGTTGGCACGCTCGTCGCCTCTGATCACTGTTTTCATATTTATAATATTTATCCACATGTTTCTAGTTTCTATATAGACACAACTAGGGATGCAAAGTCTTTTGAAATATCGATATTTATATCGATATTTATATCGAAGTCAGGCAAATATCGATATCCGATATATCGACCATTTTAACTCGATATTATCGATATATCGATATTTTTTTCTTTTTTTTTGCTTTGTATTAAGTTTGCAAAGCAAAAGCCTAAAATTAAGGAAGCAAAGGTTTCCGAAATATCGATATTTATAATGTGGGCAGGTAAATATCGATATCCGATCAGATATGTCAGCCATTCCAACATTTCCAACACGATATTTTCTATATTTTTTTTATAGCGCTGTAAGAAGTATCAAATCAAAAGCAATTTCGAATCAAAGATATTTATTTTGTTTAAAATATTTGCACGCAGCTAAAATCAGAATAGATAATCATATGAAAAACAATTGTTATGAATTAGTAAAACCTACACATCAGGCTTCAGAATAGGGTAAGTCCAAAGCTTCCAAAATTACTATACCTATCTTACTTTCTTGACTTGGCGAGCTTAAAAAAATTACGATTTGTATAAGATTCTTAATTTTATTTTGTGTTATATTACAATGATATTAAATTTCAATTAATCAGTAGTTGACAATTATCTAGAAAGAGAGGCAAGGATTTTATTTAAGTGCATGAGTTACCATTAGGTATACGATTATACCTATATACGTTGGTGTCGATTCTGGCATGATTATCTAAATTTAAAACTAAATTTAACATCAGTCTCTCCTTTTCATTCTGTATAGAGAATGACAAGGATACACTGTTGTCATATTTAATTTTAGGTTTAGAGAAACATGCCAGAGTCCACACCAGTTTAGTATATTTCTTGGGGTTCAAGATATTTTTGATACATCTATAGGTTCTTGCAATTTCAGAGCAATAGTTATTTCGATATTATTCAATTTAGATAGTCATAGCAGGTAAATTAATTGATATTATTGTTTTCAAATTAAGTCTACTAAATATCGATATTTTGGAATTTCCGATATCGATATTATCGATATCAGTGAATTTTAAATATCGATATAAATATCGATATTTTGGTCTCGATATTATCGATAATATCGATATTCCGATATATCGTTGCAACCCTAGACACAACGTGTTTTAGTTACTTACAAGTGCTAATTACATATGGACTAATAACTTAAATTCAGTAGTGATTTTAATTGAATATTTTGAATATTTATTTAATTTTTCAAATTAAAACTGAACTTAATTGACTGTGTTAACTATCCTTTTCCAGTCCTTTTATTATTTTATTGTAATTATTAATTATTTTCATGCAATTAAAAAATATTTTTAATGATGCTAAAGAAGTATAACTTCTCACGCGCGTACATAAGTTACAAGCATCCATTTTTTTTATACAGTATGACACAGCAATCAAAATGCAGGTAAACAATTAATGTATATTTAATAATTATGTAATGAAAGGTGACTTCATGAATCATCTCTGAAGTCATTTTTCAATTTGACGACTCTGTAAATAATAAAACAAGGAGAAAAAAACAGCCCTTGCTGAGTTTCTTGCCGGTTCTTCTCAGTACAAGGTCTCCCGCCGTAGATTTACGAACCGATGGCGTAGTTTCTAGACATTCATGAGTGCTTGTAACAGCCTAAACTGAATAAATGATTTTGATTATGATTAGATCTATTATATATTAAGGCTGTATTGAAGTTATACTTCTTTAGGCGCGTTATGAAAAAATGATGAGAGTGAAATTTTAAGATGCGCGCGCATCACTGTAACACAAAAAATTAACAGCATGAAGTTGGTCCAACTTCATGCTGTTACTTTTGTGTTTACCGCACATTAAGAAAATCTACCAACAAAATAGAAATAGAATCTCTATTTTATGGGTGCTAACGACTGCATTGTGAAGGCCTATCAAAAGTATTTATTAATCTGGAACAACGGAACCAAAGCGCGATTCAGGAGACTACAGTGCCATCTCTTGACCATTGGTGTAGTAGAACCAAAAACCACATCTTTATTTTTTGTAATAAAGTAACAGTTATAGGTATTCATATTTATAATATTTATCCACATGTTTCTAGTTTGTATATTCGGAATACGTGTTTGAGTTTCATACAAGTGCAAATCACATATGTTCTAATAAATTATATTCAGTAGCGATTTTAAGTGAATATTTTGATTATTTATTTATTTTTTCAAATTAAAACTGAACTTTATTGACTGTATCCTTTTCCAGACTTCTTATTAATTTATTGTAATTAATTATTTGCATGCAATTAAAAACTAATTTTAAACGATGTTAAAGAAGGATAACTTCTCACGCGCCTACATAAGTACACGCACCCATTTTTCAGTAATTGAGATGCACGTAACAGCAATTGAATAGGGATGTTAGATTATCAAAAAGTATTGGACACGTATTTTTTTCTTTTTTCACATAATATAAACATTGCAGAGATATATTGATGTGAAAAGTCGCATGACGTCACGTTTTGGTACAATTTTCACTTAAAAGTGACGTGACGAGACTCCCAAACTTTGACGCGCTATAACCAACACTGAATTTGACTTTTCTTTTGACAGTTGGTCTACCATCAAGTCAGCATTATTATGTTATTGTGAAAGTCTGACGGATCAATGGGGCAATACTGGTTGCACTGACAATGAGGATAGTGCTTGACATTATTTTTTGTTAAAACATATAATATTTATTTGAAATGCTTACCCTATTTATAGTATATTAAAAAAAGTAGCCTATAGCAGTCTCATAAGTTCAAGCTATACGTATACCAAATTTCCTCACAATCGGTTCAGCGGTTTAGGCGTGAAGAGAAGACAAACAAACAAACAAACACACTTTCCCATTTATAATATTAGTATGGATTATATTAATATTGACGTTTTATGATATAATATGACAATCATTTAAAATATGTGAAACTGAAAAATGTAAATGTGTGATAAATGTAATTGCTTTTTGTCGTTTTTATCACAATAAATAAATAAATAACAAAAATAATAATTTGTCATTTTTTGGTTGATTGCCCAAAGAAAAAATACGTGTCTATTGTTTTTTGATCATCTAACTGACGGACTAAATAGAATCTCGGTTACTGTACCCTGTCATCACCCCTATTATTGTAACAAGCTCAGTTGACCTGATGAGGACAAAGGACCACCGTACCTTGTTCACAGTATTTATTTTTTGTAAATCTGTTTATCATGGTCCTGATGTATTTTTTGGATATATAAAGTCTTTAAAAAAATTTAAATGGAAAATATTAAAAACCACCTGCCCCATTAAGCAGCGAAGTCGTAAACCTTGTTTTTTTGAAACGACTGAATTTTCAAACCATTTTCCGTTTTCACCGCCGCATCTTTTAATTGTCCCATATAAAATGTATGAAATTGGATATTCCGAGATTGCAATGCACCGGAAAGAGTGTGGGCAACTTACAACAGTGTTCACCGATATGAATCAGGATTTGCATCCAACAGAAAAAACAGACAAACGCTCATGCAAGAATAATAAATAAATATAATAAATAATAAATAATAAATAAATAAATATTTCCAACACACACACCAATTAGCCTAGCCCCAAAGTAAGCACTGTAAGGCTTGTGTTATGGGATACTAGGGTAACGGATAGAATACATATACTGTACATATATAAGTATATTTTATATAGAAATATATATTTAACATCCATGACTGGAGTACAAATGCACGTATTCATCACACAAACATCTGTCCCCACCGGGATTCGAACCCGGGACCTCTCGAGTCGGCGACACCATGAAACCCGGCGTACAAACCACTCGGCCACGGAGGTCGTCGAAGAAGGCAAGTAACTAGGACAATATTGAAACTATTAATAAGTCAATTATTAAATAAGTTATGTAGAGATAAGGAAGGGAGACAGGTTATGTACCAATGCTTACTTGCCCTACTTTAAAGAATAATTGAAACTACATATACCTGACGATGAGATTTAAACTGCGTTAGTTAGTAGACCTAACTAAACCACACAAATATAATAAGTCATAAATTTTCCTTACTAATTTTATCTCATTCAAGAGACTGTTATGGTTTTGCTATGAGAAATAAAGATTGCTAAACCAAGTTCACAAGCCAAAGCTTGAGTAGCAAAGATTTATGATGTGCCATATGAAGTGCGCCAGGCGGGATATCGTAAATACCAATAATTAAATTCCATCTTCCGCACACGAGTCGCCCGCAAATCTCCACCTTGGCTGGCACAATTAAATTTGATCCCGAAATCCCGGTGAAGTGGGTGCGTAAATCCCGCCGCCCGCCCAGTGAAACTGCGCGCCCCCGCGCCCCACATTGACTTGCAAATGCGCCCCTGCTGAGCCTCAGCAGAAAACCGAATTATTTGAAGCTAGCTTTGCAGTCACAGTAACGAAACCGAACACAAAAGTATTGTTCATTGATGCGGTTTTAAAAGCTTAGGGGTAGGTAGCTAT